GAAATGAATAGGGAAAAAAATACAAAGGAAGAATAAAACAGACAAAAATGTAACATGCACATAAATAAATACTTTAAAAAAAGGTATTAATAAATAAAGTTGAAGATTATAATGGACAATAAATAAATAAGGTTATTATTACAACTAAAGAAGCTAATTAAAAGAGATATATAAATTTATGTCTCACTGTATAATTTAATTTTTACCTACATTTATTTGTTTATTGTAATTTTTGGAGCAATTAATTGTACGCTTATTTATTTATTGAGCATTTCTTTTTTTTTCTTTAACTATGGTAGAGCTGATCCTCCATAGGTTAACACCATTTCAAAAACATATGGATCCTGATTGAATCTGCCGTCAGCAAACTTGTCCAGGACCTTCTGACTTTTGTCAGTCCTCAACTTCTAAAGTAAGTCACAGTTATTGCAAAAATCCCAAACTCAATGATTTTCTTTTTCTTGTTTTTCTTTTTCTTCTTTCCACAAAAGGTGAAACAAAATCAGGTTCCATTTTCTTAAAACTAAACATCAGTCTGATGTATACTTACCTTTCATCATGTGTATAAAAGAACAGGTATGTGCTTATGCAGAAATCATCTCCTCATTGAGGAGATGATGAAAGAGTGGCCGAGGAAGTTGTATGTAAGGAGACCAGATGATTTTTTCCAGGCATCACCATCGCTGTTAATCTGTGACTCCATGCGTGCCTATCTCACAGCTGATGTGAAAAACATGGTGAAACAAATGAACGCTGTGCTTGCTGTTATTCCGGGAGGTCTGACAAAGGAACTTCAACCGCTCGACATCGGTGTGAACCGGCCGTTCAAAGTAATGCTGCTTTCACACCGGACGCAGCAGGCGCGGCAGAAGCAGCGAGTTTACATGCAAAGTCAATGGTTGACGCGCGTCAAGGTGCAGCAAAAGGTCCCGCAGCGCGTTTAGAGCAGCAGGCGCAGCGCGTCTGAGCAGCTGAAGCAGCGCTTCAGGAGCGTTTAAGCATCTGATGCGCCGCAAATGCGCTGCTGCTCAAGATGGAAAAAATTAAGTTTTGCTGCTTGACGCGCCGCATCAACCAATCAGAGAAGCTGATCTGGGAGCTGACAGCGAGACAGACACATCGCTGATGACACAGAGCGCTGTGATCGCTCCGCTGAAACAGTTTATTGACGCCTAAATTAACTTAAAATGCTGAAACCTGAAGGCAGCTGTTTAATGGGATTCCTACTGACGGCGCACCGCTGGTATGTGGGGGTCTGAGTGGCTCCAACAGAACTAATATTGGAAGGCAAGATGGTAATCTGGATGAACTGACTGCAATGATTAAGTTTTCAGGTGGACTTTCTCACTTAAAACTTACTTAAACTTACTTTATTCCCACTGATCACAGCAAATACAGCTGCAAGGCAAAGAAAGGATAGAGTAGCTCCGCCCAACGCGCGTCAGACACACTTTTGCACCGCGCAGCCAGAGCAGCAAAGCTGCTTCAGCCGCGCGTCAGAACTAACTGGTACAATCTAAACTGCAGGCACCAGGATAATAAAAGCGAACATATTCTGCCGGCAGATTTCTGCATTTTAAGTTAATTTATGCGTCAAAAAACTGTTTCAGAGGAGTGATCACAGCGCTCTGTGTCATCAGCGAAGTGTCTGTCTCACGGCCAGCTACCAGGTTTGATTAATACTTTGTAATAAATACATGAATAAAGCACAATCATACTCAGTTTTGCTCCTGCTCTATTTTTAAATACGCAGTAGAGGTTTTTAAACGTAGTAGAGGACATGTACCTGTATATAAAACCCGCGCCCTATAGTCCGGTGCGCCTTATGTGTGTGTTAAATACAGTAATAGCACACATAACTGAGACTGCGCCTTTTAGTACGGTGCGCCTTATGGTCGTGAAAATACGGTACTACTCATTGATTTCTTAAAGCCTACAGTGATAACATTAGGGCAGGGGGAGAAGATGCATATCCCGTCCCACAGCATTAAATGACCTAATTGTTCTCTCCAATACATTGTTCATTTTTAATTAGCTCACCAAGGAGTTAATAAAAATCTTGGCCAGTAAAATAACAGAAATATAATTTGTTCACTGTTTATTTTTAACTTCTGTAGCTGTGCACTTCTACTGTAATTGGAGTGGGAAATATGGAGGTGGCAAGCAGACAAGGCATCAGGTTATTAGTTGGCTGCTGATACAAACCAGCAAAGTTTGGTCATTCTGATGGAAGACAATGAGAAATAAACTCTTTCTTCACAAATGCAAACAAAAACTGGGTTGTTATTTTTATGGCGTGAGCCTCGCAGTCAGGAAAAAACACAACGTGGTGTGGTATTTGAACATATTTTGTAATCCCTTCTCCCATCACAATGAGAGAGTAATCCTTGTTGACTATTTGAGACAGCTTGTGCATCAACATTTTATTTAAACTTGCACAGATCAGACAGTTGTATTATCAAAGGGGCAATGACAGTGATGGTAGAAGCATTGTTCTTGTAAAATAAAAATAAGAGATTCTTTTTGCTATAGGTAATATCCAGTGTGGGTCCATCAATAAATTGCCTGCAAGTTGTTATGGTTTTAGGTATTTGCCTAACCCACATGCAGAACACTCACAGGAGACAATGCAGTCTTTTAAAAATGTATTTATAGAGAAAATAAGTATTGAAAATGATGATGCCAAGGGGCAGGTGCAGCAGGAGACTTTGGAACATCAGATGAATCCGCCTCGGGGGAGTGAGATGGGGTCCGAGTGTTGGGCCAGAGGATGAAGGTGAGTCTTGTGAGCATGGTGAAGGTGGATCAGGTTTGAACACAGTAAACTGAGGAGAGGAGTCAGTAGCTTCCAGCCAGTAGATGTACCAAGAGATCACAATTAATCCGTAGTGAATTGTGGTGGAGGAAGATTGCTTGGGGACAAAATCCAAAGGCTTTAGTTTCCTGAAGGGAACAAAGGAGAACAAGGTAAGAGTAGAGAAATCAGGGAAAACAAAGCAAGAAGTCAAGAGGGCCACAAGTACCACTTAAGATTAATACTCTGTCATTGAAGTGCTGGCAGCCAACTCCTAGTAGTCTTGACCTGATGAGAAAAAGGTGTAGGCAATCAGCAGAGCAGCCCAACCGACCATGCTCCCAGATAACCTCTGGAGGATGGACTTGAAAATTGCAAAAAATAGAGAGGAATCAGGACCAAGAACCAGACCCCAACACAAATATCAGGCTGAAGAACCCCAAAGGGCTCTACAGTGCATTCTGTTATGGTGCAAAAGGTTGAAATTATGTTGTCAAAATCTGCACACTTACTCGTCGTCTTCGACTCCATTCAGGAACCGCGTCTCGGGGGCAGAGGTCTCAGCTAAGAGTCCCAGACTCCATGGACACCTCATCCAGCTCTGCTACCAACGGAGAGGCAAACTCCCTACAACATGTCCGGGGTCGTCCGCTGGACTTCCTGTTTAGGAGAAGTACAGTAAGTTGTAATTGTTACTACTTACTTTTTCCAAGCAATGTGGTCAACACCACTCACAAGGTAGTGAGGCTACTCACCCATAGCTGGGACAGTGGTTGACGAGTGCCAAGAAATGTCCACATATTGTGGGGTATTGCACTTCGTCTCTGGGGCCCACTGTTGCTCCGAGATCCCCCGCAGTTTGGCCTGGATCAATAAAGTACCCAGTTTCCGTGTGTGGCCACGTGGAGGCTCTGCAGGGGTCTTTGTGGTGGAGAGGCTATGTACTGGCAGGAGAAGAACCAGACACGTGGTTCTTTTCACCCTACATGTAGGGACAAGCCAGCTGCAGTAGCTGAATTCCAAGCACACAGCTGAATCTCAGAACTACTGCAAGAGACGCTTCCACACACACTTATGTGCATTCGCATGCACACAAACACACACTTTTTTTTTTTTTTTTTTTTTTTGTTTGTTTGTTTGTTTTTGTTTTTTGCTTTATTGTATTTTTTTTTTGTTTGTTTGTTTTTTGCTTGTTTGTTTATTTTTTTTTTTTTTTTTTGCTTTATTGTATTTTTTGTTTTTTGTAGTTTTTTTTGTGTCTTTTTTATGATTTTTAGGAAGATTTTTTTTTTTCATTTCTGGCCTGGTCACATTTTTCTAGTTGTTGATGTTGCTTTTCTTCCATTTTACTGGTTTCTTGAGACCCAGACCGTGTCGTATCTTTTTCCAAACTGATGGGTCGTTTTTTGAGCAAAGCTTCTGTTGGTTCAGCATCTGGACTTTGCTGTTGCTCTAGCAGGGTTTCCACAGAGCAGCCAGTCTCTTTCTTTTATTCAGAATTGAAAATATTATAATCTCTCAGCATCTCCTCTATGAACTCATCTACCTCCATGGTGGACACATTAGTGATAATAACGTCCTCTGACAGGGTCTCAAGATCCATGGATGCAGGGTCTGAAATGGTCTTCACAGGGATGGAGTCTTCTTTCTGTCTCGGTTCCTGACGCCTGGCCTTTTTGCGTTTTGGACAACCAAGGTCTTCTTTGTCCTGGAGCTCAGCTTTCAGGTGTTCCAGCTCTGTTTTATAACTAACCTCACACTCAGAGTACTGTTGTTGAAGGGTGATAAGTTGTTTTTGGAGAGCGTTCTTCTCGGCCCCAAGTTCACAGTAGCCTGAGCCATTTTCTGATGGTTTTTCTTCTTCACTATGAGTTCATTGATGAGCTGGCGGTCAAACTTTGCTCTCTTCTCATTACCATTTTCTTTTTACAGATCATGTCATGCTGATAGGTTTCTACTTTTTGCATCAATAAAGAAATGTCTGTGTTATATTTTGAACTTAGTTCTTGGCATGAAACCTTCATCTGCTCCATCTAAATCTGCAGGACTGCTTTCTCAGCTCTCAGGCTGTTGATGAACTTTTGGTCTTGCTTCATTTTTATTTTTTCTTTGCTTTATTGTATTTTTTTATTTTTTTGTACTTTTTTGTCTTTTTTGATGATTTTTTAGAAAGAGTTGTTTTCATTCCTGACCTTGGCACATTTTTCTAGTTGTTATTCTGAGAAGTGTTGCTTTTCTTCCATTTTTCTGGTTTCTTGAGACCCAGACCGTGTCGTATCTTTTTCCAGACTGATGGGTCTTTTTTTGAGCAACTTGCTTCTGTTGGTTCAGCATCTGGACTTTGCTGTTGCTCTGGCAGGGTTTTCACAGAGCAGCCAGTCTTTTTCTTTGATTCAGAATTGAGAATATCATAATCTCTCAGCATCTCCTCTATGAACTCATCTACCTCCATGGTGGACACATTAGTAATAATAACGTCCTCTGACAGGGTCTCAAGATCCATGGATGCAGGTTCGGAAATGGTCTTCACAGGGATGGAGTCTTCTTTCTCTCTCGGTTCCTGACGCCTGGCGATTTTGCGTTTTGGACGACCAAGGTCTTCTTTGTCCTGGAGCTCAGCTTTCAGGTGTTCCAGCTCTGTTTTATAACTAACCTCACACTCAGAGTACTGTTGTTTAAGGGTAATGAGTTGTTTTTGGAGAGCATTCTTCTCGGCCCCAAGTTCACAGTAGCTGCTAATTTTTTCAGAATGAGCTTTTATTTCTTTATCAAGCTCCTGCTGAAATGCGTCTTTCTGCTGTGTTAGAGCAAAAACGTCTGTTTCGTACCTAGTTTTCAATTCCTGGTACAAGACCTTAACCTTCGCCAGTTCACTTTGAAGATTTTCCATCGTCTCTGTAGATTCTTGTTTCAGGTATCCAAACTCGTGAGCCGTTTTCTGATGGTTTTCCTTCTCCGCTATGAGTTCATTGATGAGCTGGCGGTCAAACTTTGCTCTCTTCTCATCAGCATTTTTCTCACAGACCATGTCATGCTGATAGGTTTCTACTTTTTGCATTAGTAAAGAAATGTCTGTGTTATATTTTGAACTTAGTTCTTGGTATGAAACCTTCATCTGCTCCATCTGAGTCTGCAGGACTGCATTCTCAGCTCTCAGGCTCTCGATGAGCTTTTGGTCTTGCTTCATTTTTTCTTCATAACGTATCTGTAAGTTGACCTGCTGGTTTGGTCCAGCATTCCTAGTTTCGTCTTTAGAGCGAAGCTCCTCGTAACAATTCTTGATTTTGTCTAGTTCTTGTTGGAGGGCAGCATTTTTCTCTTTTTCAGTTTGGATTTGTGATATAAATGCTTGCTCCTGGACAATATGAGCAACCTTTACATGCTCAAAGTCTACTTGCAGCATCTTTTTCTTTTTGTATTTCATGTCATTGTTCACCTTAGATGCGATAGTGGCAGGGCTGAGAGTTTCTGGATCTGTAAACTTTTGAATTCTCATCAGTTCTCGCTTGGTTTCTTTGCCCTTATTAATGAACATCTCTTTGAGATTTTTCTGCCGTTTTAACTCACTTTTTGCTTTTTCAAGCTCTTCCTCAAGGGTGGATACCTTTTGGTTTTCCTCCAACCATTTAGATTTCTCCATTTCCAAAAGAGAGTTGAGCCTTTTGATTTCATCCTGGACAGGATTATCAGGCTGCCTGTTGTTAATGCAGCTTTTCTGATTCTTTCGAGCTTCCAAACTATACGGCTGATATCTGCTCCCACCATTGTGGTAATGTGTCCTTTGATGTGGCATTTTAACACAAATAAACGGTTGTTAAAGTTTATGTTAATCTGTAAAAAGTTTGAAATCTCGACTAGAAGGGCTATGCGTACGTCTGAACAAGTCAGTGGTGCAGCAAGCAATAATGCAATGAATTCTGATCTGATGACATCAGGGTTCTAAAGCAATGACATCACAGAATAATGGGCTGTCCCTTAGACAGACACACACACACACACACATACTAGTTCTGCCATCGTAGTGAGGACCATGTGTTGACTCCCATTGACTTCCACTGATTTTCATTCATTTTAAACCCTTTTTATGCCCTAATCCTAAAAATAACCCTAAACCTAACCGTTACCAATGCATACCTCACCCTAACCCTAACTAATTAACATGTTAGCCCTAAACCTAACCATTAGCAAAATAGCATGTGAGGACTTGCAAAATTTGATGGTGAAGATGGAATTGCGGTCCTCACTCTGAGGGCTAGACAGATACACACTCCCCCACACACCCCCACACACATGACTTATGGGGACATTTCATTTACTTACATTCATTTAAACCAGATCCCTAGCCTAACCCTTACTATTACCAACATACACCTAACCCCAACCCCAACTCAAAGAACAGAACTTTACCATATTGGGACCAGGATTTTGATCCCCATAAGGACATAGGTCCCCATGAGGTGACTTATAAACAGATTAAAGTCTCCACACCGTAAAACAAGTATACACACACACACTTCAAGCTCCACCCCCAAATATTATATGAGATTAGGATTTCTTTGATAGAAACACTGATTTATTTATTTATTTATACATTTTAGCTTTTTATGGTCATAGTGCCCTTTGTCTTTTGAACTTTATAGGTGATTATTTGAGTCATTGCTGTAACATTTCTGCACTGTCCATTATTGTAATGGCATCTGCATGTTTGCAATATATGATATAACATTGTCAATTTGAACATGGGATAAAAAAACTAAATAACTAAAACAGATTTTAGTTTCTTCTTATGATTATGAACCAGTCAGTATCTCGCTCTGGTCTGCAGCCAACGCTGCACCCCTCCACTTATAGGGTTGATTTTAGTTTTAGCTTAGAAATTTGCCACAAACACCTGTTACACAGACAGACGGCCCATTCAGAGCTTTTATCTTTTTAATAAACATTAAGGAAAGAAACAAAGGGACTAGTTTGCCTTGAGGGGCAAGAAACAGCCATGCTACCTCTGAATAAGAACTGTCGTGTCACAAGTGTTATGATCCTGCCATTGATCTCTTGATATTTTGCCTCCTTCTCGCAAAAACATAGCATGAACAGAATTCCACCCCAGCTTGCTATATCTGCTAGCTGGTTCCTCTTAGAAGTTGGTAAATGGCCTGTACATATATAGCACTTTTTGGTCAAGTCAGGAGACTTGACTAAAGCACTGTATACTTCATTCAGTAATTCACCCATTCACACATACGCTAACGGTGGCAAGCTACATTGTAGCCACAGCTGTTGTCTAACAGCTCACTGCAGTAAACAGGCACCACCAGGCCCTCCGACTACTATCAGTGGACCATGTGGGGGAAGTGTCAACGTGAACTGAAAGATGGAGCTTGAACCGACAGCAACTCGGTTTCAAGTACAATTCTTGCATCCAACGCCACAGTCGCCCGGATGTTCAGCTCACCGTGGTGGATTTTGATTTTACTGAGCTGTGTGTCACACAGCTGTGTGTAATTAAGGAAACCAAACACCGGTGTCAGCGTTTCTGGGTCCAAGTTCGTTTAGTAACACCAGCAACTCCGGGAGCTGTGGCTGGATGACTGTCGCTTTCAGCTGTAAAAAAAACTAAAAACCAACCCAATTGGTAGAATCAGTAGACAGCACAGGGTATTATTTCCACTGTTATGCAGATAATACTCAGTTATATTTGTCTATAAATCCAGATGAAACACAGAGTACAGGCATGTCTTGAAGACATAAAAACCTGGATGACTCTTAACTTTCTGCTTTTGAATCAAGAAGTTATAGTCGTTGGACCAGAGTGTTTGAAACAGAAGCTCATTAGTCAATCAGTCAATTTGGATGGGTTTAAATTTATCTCTGATAATAAAGTAACCAAATCTTGGTGTTATTTTTTTATCAAAGAGGTTTCTAGAACTTCCTTCTTTCGTCTGCGCATTATTGCAAAAATTTGAAATAACCTGTCTGTGGGTGATGCTGAGAAACTATCTTGAATTCTTTTCTATCAGGGAGTCCTCTAACTGTAGTGAAAAGCTTTCAGCTGATCCAAAATGCTGCAGCCAGAGTTCTTATGAAAATTAACAAGGGAGATCGTATCTCTCCTATTCTAGCATCTCTTCATTGGCATCCTGTTGAATCCAGAATAGGATTTAAAATCCTCTTTCTCACATATAAAGCCTTAAATGCCTAAGTTCTTATATCAGGGATCAGATCAGTTCTCGTGTCCCTAACAGAGCATGTCACTCTCAATCTACAGGTTTAGTAGTGGGTCCTATATGGGAGAATTATCCTGCCATAATGCAAGAGCACATCATTTCAATTTGCCACTTATAAGAGCGTCAGCTGAAACTGCTATTTACAGTAGTTTTGTGGCTCGATTCAGCAAAGTTCATTACTTATGGATAACCCAAACAATTCTGAATTAAGTAATTTTAAACAATTAGTGGTTTGTTATGTACAAAAGCAGAGAACCGACATATTAAATTATTATCTTGAAATACTTTGTTAGTATTGATTTCAAAATGTAGGGGAAAAAATACATTTTTTACAAAAAGTTAAAATGTTGGATAGTTATTTCCAATTATTATTATGGTGTTATGTGTCCAGTCAGCTTTCTTATTGACGTGAACACCCAGGTATTTGAAACTCTCCACAGTTTCTATGTCCTGCCCCTGAATGTTCACACGGGGGTCGTCTCCTGAAGTCGATCACTATCGCCTTGGTCTAACTGGTGTTTAAACTCAGGTGTTTTTTCTCACAACAGTCCACAAAGTCCATGATGACTGACCGGTACTCCAGCTCATTCCCCTCAGACACACAGCCCACAAGGTGAAGGTGTAGAGGGTGAAGAGAAATGGAGACAGGACGGTGGCCTGGAGGCCCCAGTGCTGCAGACTGCCACTTCTGACTGATAGCCTTGCAGCCACAGGGCTGTCAGTCAGAGAAAATCCTGACTTTGATTTTCTTATAGAAGTCAGGAGAAAAAGATTTCTCTTCCAGGGTCAAGTCATCCATGCCTCCGAAAATTAACGATCTCACTCTTAACTAAATATAAAATTTGAGGTCTGATTAAACATGATAATAAAATTTTAATAAATAAATACCAATTTTAATATCATAATAAAGTACTTATTATTTATTAACCTGCTAATATAGCCAACAAACCGCATAGTTAGTCCAATGAAAAGCTCCTTTGAGGTGAAAACAGCGGTGGTTTTCAGAAGACATAAGTCTCCTTTCCTTGTAATGTACTACTTGAGCTGCGATTGGACTCCTCTTTCGGACCAATTGTCCACTCATCCAACATTTTAAAACATCCATAACTCACTGACTGGTTAAAACGTAAAGATTTGCCATTATACTAAAAAAGTATTTCAAGATAATAATTTAATATGTCGGTTCTTCGCTTTTGTACATAACAAACCACAAATTTTTTAAAATTACTTAATTCAGAATTTTTTGGTTATCCATAAGTACTGAAATTTCGAGCCACAAAACTACTGTAAATAGCAGCTTCCGCTGACGCTCTTATAAGTGGCGTAATAGCACAGGCACACTCAGTAGGGTCAAACAAGCGCACCCTTTCCGAGGCTGTCGTTCTATTGGCTGGAAAGGTTGCTAGGCGACGATCCAACTGCAATCCGAGAGAGAGCAAAAAAAGAGAGAGAGAGAAGAGAAAATATTTGAGAGAGAGCTCATGTTTTGAGTGTGAGCATTATAAATTTTGAGTGCAAGAAGATGAAATTCTTTTCTCAAATTGAAATTATGTGCTCTTGCATTATGGCAGGATAATTTTCCCATATATGTATGGAAGAAAGAAACAATGGTAGGACTGATTAGCTAATAGGGAGCAGGTGAAGAGAGAAGTAACTAGAAGGAGCTAAGGCGAACAAGACTGGCAAAACGGGGCAACAGAGAGTAACTTGAAAAATAAAACACGGCTTAAATGTAATACAAAATGGAAAAGAAACCAATGATCGGGAAAACCCAATATAACATAAATCAAAGTGTAACTGAGAACTTAAAAAGGAACTTAAGTAGAAGTCCACAAAGGGTACAATCATGACAATAACTGCATTTGTGCCAATCTGAACATAGAAAGTAAATTGAGAGCGGAATAAATCAAAGCTTCCCTCAGACTTTGCCAACCTCTCTGACTTACACTACACAATCTTTTTTAAAAGAATAATATGCTCTCTGAGTTCTTTCAGCATTACGCCCTCCCCAATAACACAGTGACTGAAAGGTGAATGACATCAAAAGGTCCTAAAATCTATTTCAAGGGACGTTCACAATAATTATCTTGCTTAGGAGACACTGACTCCTTTGCAGGTTTTAATTAAAATGAGAAGTGTATATTTCTTGATATTAGCTTACGTCTATATCTAATGTACTCTACTGGTTGTGTTACCTCTGGAAGCCTATAATGGTTTTATTTGTAAAAGTAATATTTGGCTTACATTGTTGTCCCATTAGTCTGGTTTAAAGTCGGAAGTAATGGATTACAATTTAATCTCAATGCAGTACAAACAAATCAGTTTAAAGAACTGTACTGAACAACTATGATAAAACAAATGCTTTTGTACACACACAGCTTCCTTCTGTAGAGCAATATTGTTCACGCATGGTTCATTGAGTGTATGGTGTTTGACATTAACATTTGGGAATTTGCAGTCAAGTGTGTAAGTATATAGTTTTAAAGCTATTATCAGTGGCAAGAAGAATGTGCTTTTATATGAAACAGCTGGTACATTCAAAGCAGTGGGTTACCTCCGAGCCAAGGAT